AAGAAATGAAAATTTCAAATGTGAAGTTACTAATTATACATAAATTAAAAAAAATTAGACTGAAACCATTGCTATTTTTGAAATCATACCAATAAAAAGTATTTATTATCTTAGAATGAGTTGTAAAAAATAAAAAGATTGGAAAAAATGAAATACCTATCTTAAATTATATTAAATAGTTTGATTTATTGATTAAATTGTATGAATTATAGATATATTCTTATAACTACTTTACACAATTATGTTTCATATAATCAATACTTGTTATTATTTTACGGATATCGTAAATACAAGTGGACTGAATAATGTGAACGCTGATCATCTTTAAATATGTAATTTAGGAGAAGTAACAAAAATAATAAATAATAATAATAAATATATTTAATATTGTCTTATGGATAGTTAAAGGATTAACATGGATATAATTTTTCAAAGTATTAACAATTCTGATGTTACTATAATTACTTAAACATCTGCGTATATTTTTTTAATTTTTTATACCACAATGTTCTTGTAATTGTCGTTTATATTTTGGACTGAGCTTAATTATATTGTTAAATAATTGAGGACCATATGTCCAATTAGTTTAATGATGTCATTATATATATGAACTTGACTCGATTCCGGGTTTTCCTGGGAATTTTGCAATAGATTTTAGTAAAGATAGCTTGTTTAAATAACATTTTCCACTACGCTATATATTAATATAGATAATTTAGAAAATTTTACATAAAAAACAATCAATGGAAATATGCATGTATCAGTTGACGCTAAATATCTTGTGTAGATTTTGTGAGTATATAATCAATATCAATCAAGTTTACAACTTTAAACTTCAATAACTCAAAAATCAATCTAAATTGACCAGTAGCGAATAGGACAAAGTTGCTTAAAATGTGTTTAAAATTGTTAAATGAGTATGTCCCAGAAACATAAATCGCGTCGAGAACTTTCTAAACTTAAAAAATAGATTGATTTATCAGTACGTGTATCTGCATGATTACCTACCAAAATATGTTACGGTATCTACTTGAGGTATTAGGAAAAGGCATATTAGTTTCTTAAATTCAATTCGCGAATTTTTTTGCCAAAATTAGTTGAAGAGCAATATTAATTATGTTTAAACCGTCGTAGGTAAGTAGTCTTTACTTTGCGCTAAAAAGTATCTGTTATCTTACGACTGCAAATATGATTCTAACCTGAGTGTGTATTGAAAGACAAAAGCTGCTTGTCATATATATCAAAGTCTATTAATAATAACAATGTAGAATAAAACTGTTTATATTGAAACTTAATGTTTTTGTGAATTGCCTGAAATTGTTTATAGTTATTGTAGATTGAAAGATATGCATTGCATTCATTTCTGTTGCGTTATTAGACAACGACTTCAAGCATATTTATATAAAATTTTAAAATCATTCAAGCCTATATCCTACATTTTAATAATTTAAAGTTTGTTTCCTTGAAAGTAGTACGTATTGATTTATGTATAAGATTTATTTTATATTTTATATTTATATTTTATTGTATATTGTTTGTAATGTTATACTCTTTTATGATTTTTTCTTCGTCATTATTTTTAATTGAATTATATTTATAATTGTATTTCACATACAATAGAAATATTTTTAATTAAGAAAAAATAATTTTCCTTTGTTATTGCAAATTAGAAAGTGCATTTGCATGCTAAATTGATGAAATGCATTTAAAAGTTGTGTATGAAACTTACTAAATATTCAAAAATTTGACTTTGTCTTATTTTATAAATTGATCTAGTTACTAATTTTACAGGAATTGTTGTTTCTCGTAATCATATAATTAACTTATATATTTAGAAAAATGTTTATATAATTTTTTTTTGTTTGTAGGTATTGTGCAATTGGTGAGGTTAGATATTAGGTTAGTTGGTTTTGTTGACTAACTCAGTTTTTATATATGGAAGCATGTGGAAGACTTAACAAAGTACAGATTCTGCTTGATCTAAGCGATTGATAAAAAAAAACTAAGAAAAGCCGAGTTCTCATTGAAACTTGCCTTGGTTCTAGTCAGAACTACGCATCTACAGAATAAAGTTTCAGCTATTTTTTTCTCTTCCTCGCCTCCACAATTTCTACAGTACTCATTAGAGCTTACTTCTAGACTGAAAATTTCTCCACAATTTCTACAGTACTCATTAGAGCTTACTTCTAGACTGAAAATGTGCCCGCCAAATATGTAGTGGCTGTTTACATAAACAATAATTCTTTTGATTTTCTTCAGTATTTTAGTTTGGTCAGGATGTATTATTCTCTTGATTTAATATTCTCTTGATCTATTCTTTAACAATAATTTATATACTATATAAATATAAAATATATAATATAATATATAATTTATATAGTTAGCGATAAGTATATCAATATCACTAATCGTCCTAAAACCAAACAATAGCTTCTCATATCTTCATTCCATTAAATTTAAGGATTAAAAAATAAATTTGTATATATTGATCTACTTAAATGAAAGCTAGTTCAATTGACTATTGATATAACTTAACACATTTTAGGAAAAATTTTGAGAAATACATTTTTAAATAATAAATAATTTAAAATATTTTTCTTCCTTATTCTAAACTATTTTAATTAGTTATTGCTTCTAAAGAATTACAATTCTTTCTCATGTGACAAATTGTAAATATAGTTCAATAATAATTATTGATTCAACGATGAAAAATTTATTTATTTATTCCGCTATATGTGGCACATTTTACTGTTTTGAAAACATGTGACATTTCTTTCAAACCGTTTAATTTATTTTTATAGCTAAAATAAATATTTATTTATTCTACAAAATTAATTTAAAATAAGCGAAATATTTGATGTCAGCAATAAAAATACCATAATAATAATAACATAATACAATATAAAAATAAAATATACTATACATGTTGTTGTCGTCCAGGGCTGTCGAGATCAGATGCGTTCGCGGGCCAATACAAGTCATTTTAGAGATTGGAGGGCAGCAGCCCTCCAATACAAATTTAGTTTTATTTATTTATTAATTTAACTTCATTTATATACCATAAAAACTAAATAATGTAGCTGTACCAGTACACCAAAAGAAAATTTGAGTAATTGTAGTATATTAAAACAGTACAAAACATTATCCGTGGACAGCCCTGTTGTAGTCTATTGAATTTGTATCTACAAATATAGGGATAACCCAATTGATACTCACCTTTTTTAAACGTCATATTTTTTATTTAAAATTGATGTTTATAGAAGCTACAAAACAAAAAATGTTAGTTTGAAGTATGACACAAATCTGAAAATGTAGAATCTTTATCCATTTGATTGTTATGATCGATCAAGACTTCACAAACTCTGATGCTTTACTTCTTATGGCTATTCGAATGTTTAAATTTTCTTGTGGTCTCTTTGCTAAGTACTCTCGATTACTTTGTTTGTTTACGAATTCTTCAATGAGGACATTTTACTTACTACAGAATTTGATATTCAATAATTGACCACATTCGCAGAACAGCTTATTCACGCAATCGATTCTAGTTTTTTTTCTCTAAATATTAGTGAAATCTTAATCTTTTTATAGCG